CTCGTTTGACGTCAACATAGTTGCTATCTAGCAAATGCATGAATGCCAATAACACAAAGCCATAGCCAAATCATTAACACTATTTTCATCAAGACTAATGAAACTCAATGTCAATCTTTAGGATAGACATCTTATTTCACTTGAATCTCAACAATAACAATGTCAACGACAAGGCATCACCTCAATGCCATCAACATCAGAACAAAGCTAAAAGAAAGCAAGAGTGAATCACCACTCAAAACTCTCTTGCAACCAAGCTAACCAAAGTCGAAGATACTTTACCCAATATCCGAGACAAAATCATCAGCAAAACTCAGTTACAGATAACACCTCATCAAGGAGTGAATCACCACACCCAAGACTCAATGAAATCCAACACTACGAACTAAACGCAACCAAATGATATCGACAGAGGTAGAGTCGACATGCCAACATGGAAAACCCATGTAAGACTAATGACACGATCCTCCGCAACACCATCAGGTAAAGCAAACCCATCACTGCTAAATCATCATCGAGTGAAGCAAGTGTTAACAGTCCTTAACAAAGTCTATAAGCGATCACTAGTCGCAAAGCAACCAACAATCACCTTTCAACTCACCTTCACAAGACCTAAACGCTAAACTCTTGTCATCAAGTCATATACTTGACCAACATGAACATAATATCCCAGACTGAGATAAAGTTCATAGACAAGCACAAACCAAATGACCACTCGAATCCAACGCAATCGCGATAAGCTCACAAACACGTTTAGCCAACAGCTCTAAGCATGCTTTGAAGAGGCTAGCTATGCATAATCAACACTTAGTCAAAACTAAAGTGAAGACCATGAGATGGATCCATATTGGTACACAACCTCCTCATAAACAAAGCTATAGTACGGGTACCAACATCTCAAACTCAAACAACTAAGTTGAACATCACCATCCTCAGCTAAGGCGCAGGGCCACCAAGACCAAGTCAAGATCAGTGAGAGCTCACTACTCTCATAGAGTCTAACGAAATGCAAAGTGCAACATGCCACCACGCATAACGCTACAAAAGAAAGGCACAAAGGTCACCTTTCTAGAAAAGTGCAACGGCCACTTTTCTATACTAACTCCAGACTCTATCCAACTCAATTGCTTTAGCCCCAAAAGTTAGCATCCCTCTCGGGCTGCATCATACAAACTACCTACTAAGGTCTAAGCCAACTGAAGTCAACTCCAACCCTTTCACTAGTTTGTACTGGCTTACGAAAATGGAATGGTTTTCGGATAAAGTGATAACAGATCAGCCATTGGAAAAGTCTAAGAAAATTTGTGGAAAATCTTTCCATTCTAGAGAAAGAATGACTCTCAGTCTAGAAATGCAAACTTTCAAGACTCAACCAATTTCCTCCTACTAACAACTTCACATAGGTTCACCTCAACACAAATTCTTATGACCCATAGTATGCTTAAGCCTCGAACATCTTTTTGCCCATTCTTTCGACATCCAACACCAACATCCGTAAAATGCAAATGGAACATCCAAGGCTTGATCACGAAGACCACATCTTCGGTACGAATTGGCCAAGTGGGCCATGTGAGGTAATAGA